ATCCTTATCTTGTCTTTCTCTGCCCTTTGTGCAACACCCCTTGTCTAGAGTCAACCTGTGACCAGAGGAACTGTGTGAGGAGATGATCACAGGGAGATTTTGAGGATTATATGGCACTTCTCAAGAAAAAAAATCACAAGATTAAAAAAATCATAAAATTAGGAGAAGTACAAAGTTTGTGATGAAAAAATGTGAGGAAAAGGAAAACGAATAAGTAAGTGATCAGTGGATCCCGGGAAAGGCAGAATTTATGGAGCTGAATGAGGAGAAGGTAGTGATGAAGAATCAACCAAAGGTCAAGAACAGTGAGGTGCCACCCCAACAACAAACCCTGGGTCAAATGTGAACTGAAAGAACTCTAAAAGAAGAACCTTAAGGGAGGGAGACATGGAATCATTGTGGAGTAAAGAGTAAATCAAAGTGTAGATATGAATTGATGAGGAGTTCCCAAGCTGAAGCTTGAATGAACTTGGCTCGTTCTTTAAAAGCTTCAGTTCAGCGCTCTCCTCTCTGGTCCCCAGCCAAACGCATCTACTGTCCCTTCGTCCAGATTCCCAACACACCTCAACCGTTTTATCTTCCAGCTGCTGCGGTTTCCTCATCATTGTCAACCACATCAGAAAGGCTCCGTTTGCCTCCTTCCTGGCACCTGTCTGTCTTCTGCAGTTCGATGAAGAGGCAAATGGAGACACTAAACTTGATTAAAGCTGCATAACCAGATGGTTTCAAATCCAAAGTCCTCAAGGAACGGCCGAAGCACCTATGTGGGATTGGTCAACCTTAGCCTGACCCAGGTGAAGGTTCCATTGCTCTGGAAGAAGCCCTGCCTAAGAAATCTCCATCTGTTTCAGTAACATCATACATCATTATCATCATGCAGCTGTAGTTGAAGACATCATCACACACTTCCAACGATCAAAGCGAGTGGCACTGTGGGTTATGTTCTTTGACTTTTCCAGAACACAATCCAGGCTGATTTTAATATGAAAGAAACTTGAGAAGACACAGTTGGACACCTCCACAACCCCTGGATCAGTGACTACAGACCTTGGTGTGAGACCGAAATGTTGTCTGAACGAGTTGTCGGGAGCACCCAGGGGGACTCTGCTCCTCATTTGTTGAAGTCGTTTTGAAGAACTGGGAATATGTCAATAATCCCAGCTGTACTGGGCATTGCACTGGTCTGTCGTGGTAAAGAGAGAGCTGAGCCGCAAAGCAAAGCTCCCGGTTTACCGCTCAATCTTGTTTATGTTTACGTATTTAGCAGACACCTTTTGTCCAAAGTGACTTACAAGCGATAATGAAGCCAGCAGGTTGCCCTTGAGGCTAACAATAAATACTAATCAATCAATCCTAGGTGGCAGTGAGACAGCATAATGAATCACAAAGGGAAGTGAATAAGGATGGACAGTAGAGTGGAGGACGGGTGTTGGGAGGGTGCTAGTTTGGAAGATGTTCTCAGAAAATCTGGATCTTCAGGAATTTCTTTAAAACCAAAAGGATTGTTCTGGTAGTGCTTGGCAGGGCATTCCACATCTGTGGAACGACACATGAAGAGTCTGGATTGTCCTGAGCGTGACGACCATTCGATGACCAGAGCAGCCGGGCCACGACGTACACCTTTATAAGAGGATTCCAGTAGATGGGAGCCGTACCATCCAGGACTTCGTATGCTACCGTTAGCAATTTGAATCTGATGTGTGCAGCTAACGGTAGCCAATGGAGGGGTGACGTGCTCTTCAAGCTTTGGGTAGTGACCAAAAGAACGAGATTGTGGATACAAGTGGCCAAACTGAGTTTTCTCTGCACGGTGTCTGGGCTCTCTCTTAGAGATGGGGCGAGAAGCTTGGTTTACCGGGAGGGGCTCGGAGTAGAGCCACTGCTCCTCCACATCAAGAGAAGCCAGTTGAGATACATTTTAGCTCATCACCACCAGTGTGTGAATTGATGAATGATACACTGTAATGTAAAGCACTTTTAATTCCTCTGACTCTGAAAGGCGCTCTACAAGTGCGGGTCATTTATCGTGTCTCTCGGCTGGCCAGGGAATGTCGTGGGATTCCTCGGAGGAGCTGGCCCAAGTGGCTGGGGAGAGGGAAGTCTGGACGTCTCTGCTCAGGCTGCTGCCCCCATGACCCGACCACGGATAAGCAAAAGATGATGGATGTATTATGTCAAACCCTGGTTCCATTGTGGAAGAAGATATGGAGGGATATTGGTGTTCTACTGAACAGCAATTTCTATTGGAGACTCAACAGCAAAGCTGTAAGAAAGGGCAGAGCAGGCGCGACATCTTTAGTATTTGCAGAAAGATATGTTCTCAGTGGTCTAGTGGAAGAGTGTCCTCCCTGGAACTGGGAGATTGCGGTTCAAATCCCGGTCTGGTCATACAAACGCCTCCCTGCTAAGGGGTTGGATTGGGGGTTAAACCACCAAATAGTTCCTGAGCGCAGCCACCGCTGCAGCTCACCACATCCCATGGGATGGGTCAAATGCGGAGATGAATTTCACCAGTGTGTGAGGACCAATGAGGCTTTAACTTAGAAGGTCTGTCGTGTAGCGCGTAATCTCCTCTATTATCCATTCATGTAGCTTCTTGGTGACCGATAACATCCATGCCTTTTCGTCACTTATTTCAAATACAAAGATAACGTCTACAGATGGAAATGCGGAGGTGTCCTGGTTCTTTTCTTTGTGGCTATTGTCTACGTGTAGGAAGTGGAGAGTAGCATGAATGTTCTACACCGGCGAAACCGCAGCTACACAAAAGGATGGCCTATTGCAGAAGAGCCAACTCATCAGGTCAAGACTCAGCAGTTTACCTACATCAAGGACAGACATTAGTGTAGAGTGTCTAGAGCTGATTGGACAAAAGAAGACAGATCACAAAGTGAAGGACATGAAGGATCCTCTTCGCAAGTCTTTCAGTAAAATTGTGTCTTCAGTTGGTGATTCCCTCAGATTCGTTACAGAAGATCTTGTGAAGAAACGTCGATAGTTCCTACAACATCCAATAATTGTTGCATTTTCTTCTGACAAACAGCTGTTTTCTGCACTGGAGGAAGAGATGGAAATATTATGGTCTGGGACATAAGGTGCAGCCAAAAAGGTTAGGAACTTCTGCTGCAAATGCTTCAGTTGTTGGCAAGTAAATGCATTTGGGTGATTAATGTTCTTGGTGTGTTTCTCGTGATTTGTGTCTCGTTCTCAGATGGCTTTTACAAGCAGGTCAAACAGATCAGCGGCGCTCACAACAAAGCAGAGTTGCATCCTCCTCCTAAGTGGAAGAAGAGACGGAGCAGCATACGTGGGATGGCTCCGAGTGTGGTGAGTTTCTGAATTATCTTTTTTTTCCCTGGTACGACAAAAATCTCTTATCTTTGTTTTCCCAGGATACTCAGCAGAGTGTGACTGTGGTTTTGTTTCGGGATCAACACACACTCATCTCTTCAGGAGCTGTTGATGGGTAAACGCACAACTCTTCAGCTCGTCAAAATAAAATTGACCATAAAAATGACCCCACCCACCCTTTCAGAGTAATAAAAATGTGGGATCTGAGGAAGAGCTACAGCCCATGTCGCCACGATCCCGTTCCTCTGCAGACTTATCCATACTCTGGCACCTGCACACGCATGCGTCTGGGTCGGTCCTGCTCTGTAAAGATCAACATATTAATAATATATAAATATATATCCAAAAGACTCCAAATGAACTGAAATTAATGTTGCAGGTTATTCCGGACTCGTTCTGGACTCCTCGAGATCCAACGTCATGTGCAATTGCACAGATGACAACATCTACATGTTTAACGTGTGTGGGATTAAAACATCACCAGGTAACAAGTACAGGTTTTATATCTTTGGCACAGAGACTGTTTTCTCCTTACTGCTTTTAAATCACTAGATGGTGCTAAGGGTTTGTGCTTTTACTTTGGCGGGGAGCAGAGCACCAGAAGGGAGAAGTTGAGATGCTTTTTAGTTGTTTTTTTTTTGGAAACTTAAATCTTCAGATCTTGTCACAACAAGAAAGAAAAGAAAGAAAGAAAAATATCATTTCTATAGCGCCTCTCAAGATAAAAATCACGAGGAGCTTCACAAAAACCAATAACAAAAAATATAAAAATTGTAAAAATATAAAAAAGCATTTCAAAAATGTTCAAAAATATATTTAAAATGAGCAAGAATAAGCAATTGCGATTTAAAAGAAAAAATGTTAAGAAAGAGAGAGAGATTGAATAGGAAAGAGGGAAATCAGTGGATCCTGAGGAAGGTGGAATAGATGGGGAGAGCAGAATAAAGAGAGAGTGGTGAAGAAGGTCATACAAAAGCCAGCTTGAACAAGTGAGTCTTCAGGTACGTTTTAAAGGAGACCACTGAGTCCACTAATCTCAGGCTCAGGGGGAGAGAGTTCCAGAGTCTGGGGGCCACAGCAGCAAATGATCTGTCACCTTTGGTCTTTAGCCTGGTGCTGCACAACCAGTAGGCTTTGATCACTGGACCTCAGGGACCTGCTGGGGGTGTAGGGACTAAGAAGATCATCAATGTAAGATGGTGCTTGTCCATGTAAGGCCCTATAGACCAGAACCAGGATCTTGAAATGAACCCCGAAGTTGATTGGCAGCCAGTGAAGCTGGAGGAGAAGCGGAGTGATGTGGGTGTGTTTGGAGGACTTGGTCAGAAGCCGAGCACAGGCATTCTGAACCACCTGTAGACGGTTCAGGGAGGTTCTGCTCAGACACGTGAAAAGAGAGTTAAAGTAGTCTAAGTGTGAGGAGATGAAGGTGTGGATAACTGTCTCAAGTTCAGAGGAGGACAGAATGGGACTCAGCTTAGCAACGTTCCTGAGATGGAAGAAGGAAGAGCGAACAAGAGAACTGACATGAGAATCCAGGGTGAGAGCTGGGTCAAAGGTCACGCCAAGATTCCTGACGGAACGTTTGGTGTGAGAAGCAAGCTGACCAAGAGAGTCTCTGACTTTGGGAACCAGCTTGTCTGGGGCACAGATGAGGATCTCAGTCTTATCTTCATTCAGCTGTAGAAAGCTCCCAGCCATCCAGGTTTTGATAGAGTCTAAGCAGGTGTGTAACAGCTGCAGCTTAGACATCTCATGGGGCTTAAAGGAGATGTACAGTTGGATGTCATCTGCATAAAGATGGTAGGAGATTACTTTGAAGGAGCTCAGGATGCGCTGAAGAGGAAGCAGATAGAGGAGGAAGAGCAGAGGCCCCAGCACAGAACCTTGTGGGACACCATGGGTAAGAGAGGTGGTGGAGGACCTAAACTTGGAGACGGCCACAGAAAAGGAGCGCTCAGAGAGATAAGAGGAGAACCACTCCAGAGCAGATCCTGATAGGCCTACCCAGTCTCTGAGCCTCTCCAGTAGCAGGTGATGGTCAACAGTGTCAAAGGCTGCAGTCAGGTCCAGCAGGACCAGAACAGAACAGTCCCCTGCATTTATAACAAATAAATAAATTTAATAAAATAATAAAAAAATTAATAAAATGTTCTCTTACATTTGTCTGATTGGCGGAGGGCCAATAACATGCTTCGGACCAAAAGCAACCATAGGACCATCCAGTTGTCAGAACCACCACACTTTCCTGGGTTCTCCATTCTTTACGCACTGACGTATTTAGCAACAGAACACCACTGGTGTGAGAGGTTCTCCACTCAATAATATCAGAAAAGGAGAAACAGCCGGCTGCTACCACTTCAACTTTAAGACAATCTACCAAAGTTCTGAAAATATAAACACCATTTGAAATCACAGACAACAAAAGACGTTTGGACCTAGAAAACAGCGACTGGTGTTTAGCAATATCTCGTTTTGTCCATCGTAGTGGGTTTCCAGTTCCAGCAGAAGAGCCTTAGGGAAGATACTCGAGGGGAGGGATGAGTGTTTCGTGACTGTGTTTGAGGTTGAAGCCTAGCTTGTTGTGTAGATTTGTTATAGCGGCTTTAATGCCTGAAGTTCTGAATCACGTTTGCTCACACAGTGGCAGTTTTCAGTGGACACCAGAACTCCTCGTTTTATGTGAAGTCCACCATCAGCCCCAACGACCAGTTCCTGGCCAGTGGCTCGAGTGACAACAACGTTCACATCTGGAAGGTACCGCCTTACGCCAGCGCCTAAATCTTTTTTTTTTTTCTCTCCTCGTGTTGATTCTATCAAAGAGCAGAGCATAAAAACTACTTGATAACATTTCAGATTTCTGATCCTCAACGTCCTCCCATGACGCTTCAGGGTCACAGCGAGGAAGTGACATCTGTCGCTTGGTGTCCAACGGATTTTGCCAAAGTATGTTTTTAAACCTCAGGGTGATGAACCAGAATGTAATGTTTTAATACAAAATTTCTTAACCAAGAATGTTTATTTTTTCACATTTGAACTGTTTTGATTATTTTTATGTTTTAAAAAGTTACTTTTTTTACCCCCTCTGCTCTGTTGACAGATTGCTTCCTGCTCCGATGATCACACTGTCCGGATATGGAGACTTCACAGGGAAACTGATGATCCACAGTCATCGGTGGGGGAGGCCAACCTTGTAGGCTGGGCACGACCTAAACTTCCCACCAGTACGTACTTGTTGTTTATCTGTGGCGACCATATTGAATTAGTTCTAGATGAAAATCCAGTTATCACTTTCTGAGCAACACCAGCAAAAACATTAAAGCTGCACTACATGATTGAGTAGGCTAATGGTTTGAGCTGAACTGGTGTGACTTTTGCTGTTCAGGTCTTTCACTCAGACCTGAAACGACGCCTTTGAAAGACTGGGAAGTGAGGAGTCTTTCTGGTCTCCCCTCACCTCTGCTTGCTGCCTGTGCCCCCAGTGGAGCCGATCTGCCTCTCCCCTCCAACACCACATCACCCATCCGTTCTAAGCCGCCTGCTGCTCATCACAGAGCGTCCTCCATTGAAAAGTGGCTTTCTCCAACCCACGAGTCTCCAGGTCAGGTCCCTTTTCTTCCTTCAAGCCCAGAGAGTAGCACCTCTTCAGATCAGCCCCGAACCAAACGGAAGCTGGAAACCGATGAACAGTCATCTCAGCACTGTGAGGACGCCAACCAGCGTGACTGTGAAACTGGACTCTACCCCACGGCCAAGAGAAGCCGCGTCCAGTCTGAAGTCTGTCGCCCAGTTCAGGAGAACTCAGGACAAACAGACTGTCGCACAGATAAAGGCAAACAAGATTCCTTCAGACAGGCTGGAAAGGAGAACCGCTTTCCCAGAGCGACTAACTGGCTGTCAGAAATGAGCCAAAAGATGAAGAATAGTCCTGAAAGTCCTGCTGCTCTCAGGAAGCCCAGTTACTTTAAAAGACCAGATGGAAAAGCACAGACTTCACCAGTAAGTCCACGGCTCCCTGGTTTAGGAGCAGATTCACCTTTTTACACAAATGATCAGCATGTCCGCCTTTTACTTCAACTGTAGTTCCACGAAAATAGAATTATTATTTGCATTCACGACTTTTTCTGTTTGTCGGGGGGAAAAAATCATGTTTTTGTGTTTTTAATCTAAAGATTTAAACTCTTATAACGAGTATCATGCCTGACTTTTCCTCTTTTGTTGTTCCAGATTCGAGTTGACTCGAGTTGGTTAAAGACCATGAAGAAAATCTCTGTGTATTTTGAAAAAAGGAGTCTGAATGAGAGCTGAACGAGGGAAGGATTTAGCTTAGGGGATATTTCAAACCAAGTTTGCACAGCCTAAGAAGCATGTTTGATTTTGTTTAGATATTTAGAAATTAGCGTTTTAAAAATATTTTTATGATTGTTGTTTTAACTGAACTTAGGTTGTGATGTTGCCTGTTACCCAATTTTCTGGTTCTTCACAGAAATTCTGTTTCTATGTTCATATGTAAATCTACCAATTTACTTCAATTTAAAAACATCAATAGATGCTTTAGGTTTTGATAAAAGGTCAGATTTTTTGTAACATTTAACTGTGGGTGAGGGTTATCTTTTTGTTTCATTTATATAATATAGCCCATGTGCTGACTTGCATTTAAAAACAAATTAATCAAAAATCAGCTCTATAGTTAAAAAAATGTCTTAATTTTTGTTATATTTTTCATACATGGATTTCTTGTTTGTATTTCATTCATTTTATGCAGACATTTTTATTTAAATTTTTTTTGCTCTTGAGGACATGTGCCTGTTTAGCTGTTTACATGTACAAATAAGAAAAAAATGTATTTGTATTTTATCATCACACGTTTGTTGGATTCAAATGTTCATATATTAAACTTGTTTCAAATGTTGGTGTTTAATTTTATATTTTGTTTATTAAAAGGTGGTGGGACATTTTATTGTTTTAAACTCATATATTATATATTTTTAAAATATATAAATATCGATGAATGATAAATTATTAATATAAAAAAATATATATATATTTCACTTATTTGGTAATTCTATCTGACGTTTCGAACTGTTTTCATTCTTCTGATTGGTTAAAAAAGTAAGTCTCAACTTCTGATTGGCTGTCAGAAACGTCATTTAAAAACGTAAACCTGTCGTCAGTCCACCGACTGCACAGGCGGAAAACACGGGAGCGTTCATGGCTGCCTGATCGACTCAGTTGTGTGTGGGGGGTATTTTTTTTCGTCTTTTTCGAGGCCGTGAAACCGGAACCGACGCTCTTCAGTCCGCGAGGAATGCAGCAAAGCAAACAGTCGCTTTAAGCGGGTAACTTTAGGCTAAACGAGTCGGTGAAGCAAGAATAGCTCTTAGCGACACTCGGCGGAAGTCTGAAGGATTAAATCCGGGGCTTGAAGTGGAGTTGGGGGTTTAAAACTGCGCTTTTTGCTACTTTACGCCAATTTCAGAAAACTTTTTTCAGATGGCAATATATCATGCATGTTTTGCAACAGGTAGACCCATCGCAAACATGATGAAACACAAACATTTGGCCGCTTAGTAGTGTTACGCGGTTAACTTTGGATCGTAGAGCTTTCGGTGTGTTGATCTGGCTTTTCTTTGATATTTAGTTTGCGTTTAAAACTGGTTACAATTGAGACACCTCAAATATGCAGGTTATGCAGGTGAACGACTCGGTCTAGCCCCGGAGTGCGCACCGAAAATGTTGGATGAGACGGACACTTCGCTCCAGAATCTGATGCTGATGTGAAGAGGAGGCGGAAACCCCCACGATCACCTAACCTACGATCAGCTCCTCGTCTGCGATCATCTTCGTGAGTTTATGCACCAAAATGTCGGCCATCACTGCATCCGAGAAGGTGGATGGCTTCACGAGGAAGTCCATGAGGAAGGCGCAGAAACAGAGAAAATCCCAGGGCTCGTCCCAGTACCGAAGTCAGAGCTCCGTGGTGGAGCTCTCCCCGCTGCCGCAGCTCAAAGGTACGGTGAGAGGGTGCAGGTCTGCCGCTTTAATGGTCCCGAGTGCCTGCTCTCTCTGTGCAAACTACATAGTTCTGTTTTTCTTGGCTAAAGTCTTAATCTTGTGGGTGCAAATCTAATGTTCAACATTTTACAGAATATTTAGAGTTTTCTGTGGCCACGTTTGTCATTTGTAATTGTATTTTATGTTACTTGGAGTTATTTCAGAAAGGCATGGGTCTGATCATAATGAGTGAGTTCACATTTGGGCTGTGCCGATTCTGGATTTAAAGGCCAATACCGAGCTCTGATTTTACTGCAGCACTGTCCTGATTTACCTCAAGGAACTAAAATAAACAGAATCTCTTCCACTTGGAAGATTTGATCACAGATTTCAGTCGTTGTTGATTAGCTCAGGAGGTAGAGCGGGTTGCCTAGTGATCAGAAGACTGCAGGATCGATCACGGGTCCTGTCAGGGTATTCTGCTGTTGTCTTTTTGGGCAAGACCCTTAACTTGCCTATGTTGGTGATAGTCAGAGGAGCTGCAGTCTTGCCTCTGTTAGACCACCACAAGGCAGCTGTGGCTACATAGTAGCTTACCATCATTGGCAGAGTCAGTGTTTGAGTGTGTGAATAATAGAAAGCACTGAGTGCCTAGATTATTGGCCAATTCTGATCACTGGTCAATTTGATTTTGGTGCACAACGTGCTTTTACTCATCAAGATGATCTATCTGAATGTTTCCATTTAAATCATAACAATTCAAAGGGAGATGCAGCATCTAGAGCAGGGGTACTCGAATATAAGTGGCCAAGGGCCTCACTAAAGAATTCCTATGATGTTGAGGGCCGTACCGGGAGGGAAGGAGGGGTAGTGGTGGTGGTCCAGGTACCACAAAGAGGTGGGGTTCACGGGCCGGACCTGGCCCACGAGCCGCCTATTGGGTAGGCTGCTACATGGCTATGTGTTGCAGGTAGAAACTATAGAAACAGACACACCAGGTTGTTCATTTGTGTGTGTAATTTCACATGTTTTCATAAACACTGGTGTTATGCATTTTAAAGGTCTCGTTGACTGGGAAACGTAATGATTCTTTTTGTAATAAAATCGCTCATTCTCAGTTGAATAAGCATGCTAAACATGAAAATGTTCAACTTTCATCACTTGCGTTAGCCGCAGAAAGGAAATGGATGGGGAAACCATCAAGCCAGTCTCTTCTACGTTACAGGGAAGACTTGTTTTCCCGGTCTACGGTATTGATTTTGTTACCAGAGTGCGTCTTTACTAGTAGAAGCTAACCATTAGCATTAGCAACTCCACAACACGGAGGAGCAAGTTTAGGCTTGTTAGTTGTGGAGATGAAATTAACGAATTTTTTTACACAAGGAAAAACACTGCAAATGAAGGCAGTGAAAGTGTTGTTTTGCTGTTAGCCAGTCAGGAAGAGATATCTGATTCAAATTCTATTCAATTCAAAAATACTTTATTAATCCCAGAGGGAAATAGATTTGATTGATGTCCTGTCATTTTCTGCCCTCCCACCCAAAGCAAATTCATTTAAAAAAAGAGAACATGAGAACTTTAAAGTGTATCTCAACTACAATTCTTTTATTATTTTTTTCGCGCCACTCTCCTGACAGGTCGTTTTGCTTCATTCTTGGACAGTGATCTGTGTTTGAGATTCGCTACAATATGTTGACAGACACGTATGTTTGTTTTAGCTGTTTGTCTTTGCAAGTGCATCAATAACGTGACAAATCGAAGCATGCATGCTGATACCAGACACCTTTGTCGCGTCTGTCGGTTAGCTTCCTCTAGCGTCTAGTCACACCAGTCCTGCTGTTGACTACATATATTTGTTTCAATCAACATTGAAGGTTTTTACACCGTTTGCTTTTGTCACTATACCACTGAAGAGCAGCAGGTTGTACACAAGTCTTGCCTTGAAGAGGATTGGAGATGATCCACCGTAGTCAGAGCTATAATTTAGCGAGTTTCTCTCCACTTTAAGTTTGACAAGCTGCAACAGCTTGAGAAATATTTTGATGCTGAAGGGGCCGAGCAAAGCTGGAGTGAAGGGAACTTGTTCTGTCAGGTTGCTGACGCTTTCTAACATGACTCAACTATCGAGGTTTTGAAAAACCAAACGTGTCTCAAAGAATTTTGTGTTTTGATTTTCTGCTGTCGTGCGTGAAAGAACGTCTGCAATGTGGTTGCATGATTAAAAGAGGAAATTAGCACTGAACTTGAAATGGGAGCGATGATTTAAAAAAAAACTCAAAAGGTTTTACGTGACCTACCTTTGGAAATGAAAGGAAGTTGGTTTTCAGAGTCAGTTTCTGCTCGTTAAGCAACAATAGACAGCTGCAGCTTATTTATTTTTATTTATTTAACCCTCATTTAGCCCGATGAGCCGATTGAGAACACATTCTCATTTACGACGATGATCTGGCCAAGAGGCAGCAGCAACAGACTCATAGTTAGCTTTACATAAAGAAAAACATAGAAGATAAAAATTAGATGAAACAGACATAAAGACAAAGGACTGTTATTCAATTCAAATTCAATTCAAAAATACTTTATTAATCCCAGAGGGAAATTGATTATGAGCTTGACCATCCCTTATTGCAGTCATAATTGGAAAAAGTTCCTCCGATGAGAAGCGAAACGTCTTAAAGAAACCAAAGAAGTCTAGTTGCCTTCATTCGAACCCTTATGGATCGGTTTTGATGTATTTATTGGTAATTATTCAGCAAACAGGTTTTGCAGCGTTTTGTTTTTCTCCTTAAGTTGATTGTGAACAACTCTCCCAAATCTTACTTTTATGTTTAAAAGCCAGTTTAAAATTTTCATAAAGCGTTAAACTTTTAATAAAACCACTACAAGGAGCTCTGTCGGTCGATCTACGTCCCAACCCTCACGAGCTTTGGGTAATGACCGAATGAATGAGATTGTGGATACAAGCGGCCAAAATTAGTTTTCTTTGCAGGGTGTCTGAGAAGCTCGGTCATCCGGGAGGGGCTCGGTCCACTGCTCCACCACATCGAGAGGAACCAGTTGAGGTGGCTCTGGCATCTGGTTTGAAAAACCTCCCAAGGAAGGCATGCAGGAGGTATTCTGGCATGTCGAACTGAGAGGAGACCTAAGGGAAGACCCAGGACACGCTGGAGGGACAATGTCTCTTGGCTGGTCAGGGAACAACTTGGGATTCCCCCAAAGGAGCTGGCCCCAAGTGGCTGGGGACTCTACGTTTAGGCTGCTGCAGCCCCCGCAACCTGACCCCGGATCAGCGGAGGGCAATGGATGGAACTAAAAGGAGACGAGTTCTGCACTTTCACAGGATTTTGGACATAACAGTCTGCAGGTCCACTGAATTTCTGCAGAAGAAATGTTATTTATGGTGTTCTTTGTCTTTTTTTAAAGGGACTTTACGGAGTTTTGAATTTTTATGCTCGCGATTGCCCCCTCAGGCCAAAAGCGTAACGGCAGCTTCAATAGTAGGCTCGTGCACGAGGTGCACATGCTGTACGTGCACACTCCTTAACGAAAGTAACAGCTGAGACAGTCGTGTGTGTGTGTGGCCCGGAGGACAGAGGACAGGTGAACGCGCAGCTAATTAATTAAATAATTTGGTTCTGTACCTTTCTCTTCAGCACAGCCGACAAAGGTTTATGATGGGTCAGTCCTCCTGCATGCTCAGATCATTCCCTTCCCTTGCTTGAAAAATTGTTCCAAAATGAAAGTTGAACCCACATCTTCTTTACCTGTGAATTCAATGCCGTTCAGAGAGTCTGAAATAAAAATTTGGGCATCTTACTGTAAAAAAATATACCATTAATGTAAAAAAGAAACTTGATAAGCTATATTCACTTCTAGAATCGAACCCGTGTCTTCTGCACATAAGTCCGAGGTCTTACTAGGTGAGCTAAAGCGCCAGTAACATCTTTTGTATCTGTAACATTTATATCCTTGATGACAGTTGAAACAACGTTCAAAGAACGGTTCGGAGCGAAAATGGCTATTTTGTTGCTAATTTGCAGGAAATATCTAGAAGAAAGTAGCTAAGGGTCCTCAGAAATGTATCTAGGTTCATCACTAGGCGTTAGGAACAGCGACTAAGTGGCACTACCTCACTCTCTGCTGCTAAAGCTACGGATAGCAAATGCTACGGGCAATGCCTGAGCGTGAACGTGCTTGAAGCAGCCTGCTCGACCCGAGCATCTCTTTTTCTGTGATTTTACAGAAAAACAGGCAATCACAGTAAAAATGCCAGGGCTCATTCTACAGGACCAGGGCATTGCAGGAGAATGTATGAAGAAGACATTTATTATTTCTATACGTTTTGGCTGTCAAACTTCCATAATGCCCCTTTAACCTGATTTGAAACGCCTGATTGTTTTATTGATTTTTTTTTTTTTTTTGTGCGGCTAGTCTGTTCCGGTAAAAGCACATTAGAATTATGTTGAAAGGCCTGTAATATACATGGAAAAACTCATTTTGACTTAAACTAAGGATTAATTTGAATGGTAAACACATTTTTAAAGAATAAAGTATAATCCTTTGTTTAATTGCTAAACACCGTAAACAGTTCTCATATTTATTCTGTTCCTCATTGGTGTACAGACACATAAGGAGATGAGTGTGTTTCCATTTACACACAAGCCACTGTGTATTTTTATTGCAGCGTAAACCGTCAACAAAACCAGCAGAACAAATGGCCATTATTAAAATTATGAATTAGAACGGATTTACGCAACGACAAAGACATAAACGAACAGCAAAAGCTTCTAAAGACGATGCTCCTTCAGTGTTGTGCCAAAAAAGGCACTCCTGCCATTAAAGGCGCCCTCTCTCCAGGATATGATTCCTGTTTGAGGATGTAGCATCCTGTGCATCAGCACTGTGCTGCCCACAGATGTGCCTGTCTTGTTATTTGGCGTCTTCTCTCAGGTGTGGCATATGTTTATTTAAAATATGTCAATAATTAGCAAGTCGATCAACTTGTCTACCTATAGAGTCA